AAGTAAAAACGAAGAAAACTAAGTGGTGGCTATATACAGTTGGATGCAGAAAGTCTTTTATAAAACAATCATTAGAACAACAGAAGACCAATCTTCAATGTCGTCCTGGAAGATTTCTTAGCATCTCCTGTTTTCTCCGATGCCTTGCTCTTTAGTATGGCTGCTAATTATTTGGGTGATTGCCACCCCTTGAGATGCCTTGCTCTGTTGTAAGTGCTCTGTTGACCACTGTGGTCTGCATATCCCTGTCCATAGTTCCCACAGTTAAACCCAGTCTAATCATACCTGCTATAGCCACTATGGTTTTGATCACCACCAAAGGCACTACTGTAATTTCCATATCCCTGATCATAATGATTACTAAATCTTTGGTTCTAGTTTTGGCCCTGACCTCAGCCATGACCTCTAGGCCCCCAGTTCCGGTCCCTTTTCCTCCTTTTTGTTGCTCTGTTGCTGCCAATTTACCTCTTTGGCTTGTGCAACTCTGATTTCACACCTCGCAGAACCAGTTTGAAGGTATCTGCATTCTAACAATTTCTTGACTAGCTCTTCATCTGTGTATGTGATAAAACGAAATCTCCTTTCATTTGTTTTTGTATCCATGGGAAGTTCAGTAGTTTCGATCTCTCCAAAGCCCCCAAAATATGCTTTAATTTGTTCTTCAGAAATATCTGGCTCCCCAATACCTTTTTAGAGGGTTCTTTCCCAATCTTTGACCCTTTTGCGGTCTATCAATTTGCCATACAGTTTGTGTTTAGTTCCAAAACCTTATCAGTGGTAGCAGCATCTTTGAAAACTATTAAATCCTCTTGATCTTCCACTGACTGGATCTGTTTTAATTGTGCAGCCTATAACTTCCCCAAATCGAGACAGATATTCAGTCAGATCTTTCTTGCTTGTATCTCTGCACAAGCCTCCAATAAACATTTTCCTGTCATTATGCTGGTTCGTGCTCACATTGATACTGGACCCCTCAGCAAACTCCTCTGTATTGCTCCATCATTCATGTTCTCCATGGTGGCAGAGTCGTCGGCAGGGGCAGGTGGACGTACGGTCCAGGTTGTGGAGATGCTGGCAGCAGCAGTGTTGTATGGAGCTCGATTTAAAATGGTGGAAGGAAAGCTAAAATTTATATTTACTGTTTTTCATGCCCTATTTAAAAAGTTAAATTAGTTTAAAAAGAATTGCTAGTCATGGAAGAACTCTGGTTGTTAAGTAGTATTTTTTGAAGGGGGTTCAAGTTGGTATAGACATGTCCTGGTACTCTTCGGGTAACATGCATTCATATTAAGATTGTTCTAATCACTAAGATTGCATTTTTATTTTAAAAGATGAATACTACCCTTTTCTAATAATCAGAAACTTTCCTAGACTCCTAAACTAGAATGTTATAATACCATGAAAAGCTACTTAAGTATATAGCAACTCAAAGATTTATATCAAAAAACTTTCTAGAAAAAAGTTTTAAAAAGAAATACTAAATATTAATATTAAATATTTAATAAGAGTGTTTCTATGATATGTGAATTACCAGAGTTGAATGAATGCAAGTTAGAATTAAGCAATATTTTTTCACTTAAAAATTTACTAAAGAGATTTAAAGTTTACATATTAGCTTTTTTCATTCTATTGGTTAATAGTAAGGGCATCTTTTTGGCTATTTATTACATCTTGACAGATTCATCAAATTGATCATTTAGTGACTAATGGTGAAGAGATGGAAACTACAGTCAATTCTGTATTACTTAAAATGTGAAGCCAAAAGTTATATTTTCAGATGGAGATTGTTGTGATTTCAAAATTTAAACACTCTATTGGTATATGCCTATTACTCATATCCTGAAAAATACGCAAAGCAAATGGAAAACAGTTTTTGTCAGTAATTAGTTATACAAAATAAAGTTACTAAAATTTTAGCTTAATAGTTGTGAAAGATCAGATTGTAGTCTAAACACAAATTTTAAATTATTTTCATTCTTCTTTGTCTCTTTTTATAGCCAGCTCTCAATTGTATGAAATGCCCCTTGTCTTTAAAATCAGGATTAATGCTCAAATATGATACTGATGACAGAAATGTGTAACAATGTAGGGATTTTAAACATTCTCAAAACAAAAGAAATTTGAACTATATATAGAAAATACTAAAAAATTCCCGGGGTCACAGAAATTGGTAGAGTTGTCATAAAAAGTCTAAAATATTTTAGAAAACAACCAATTGAAAGTGACAAAGAAATCTATAGGAATAGTATATTTTTTCCACATGCCATCTCCTAACATCCAAAGTACTAAAGCTGAAAAGTCATGTAACTTGTTGATAAAATACTTCCTTCCATGAGTTTCATACACAAGGGTGATATAGGACACGAGGGAAGTTAACATGAATAGGATGATATTTAGAAGACGAAATAACAAATGCTGTATTTTCTTATTCTGCATTTTCTGCAGAAAGACATTTAAAATCTGCTATAATCAGTGGCAAATCAATATGGCGTATAGCAGCCTGTGAGATCACATTTAGCCCTAAGCATAAATTTTTTTTTTTTGTCTTTTTCTTTTTTAGCGGTACCAGCGATCGAACTCACAACTGCCTGCTTGCAAGGCAGGCACTTATGCCACTGAGCTAAATCCCCAGCCCCGCCCTAAGCATAATTTTTTACTGAGAAAAATATAAGAGAAATAATTTATATTATCTATTTGATGAGTTTTTGCTATTATACTTTCCTTTATTACTTTGAAAATGGTTCCCTTTAATTCTCTAAACATAGCCCGTTGAAAGTCTGCTGAACCCAACACCTGGCCTTCCCTGAGATAGTTTCCAGAGATTTAGTTTTCATGTATATGAATCATTCTGTTGTATTTTTTAAATACCTCAATTTTTTTTGAAAATTAGATATTTTGGGTAAAACAAAGCATCTCTATTCTGATCTGCCTATCAGGTGTATCATTATTATTACTCTTAGTTTAAGTCTTGCCTGGCCTGATGCTGTGGACTATGGTTCCCTTACATTGTGCTGTTGCTGGCATCCCTTGTTTCTTTTTTTATCTACCTATCTATCTATCTATCTATCTATCCATCTATATTTATTTATTTATTTACTTTGAGGCAGGGTCTCTTTTTGCACTTCAGGCTAGAGCTTACTTTGTAGCCCAGGCTTACTTTGTCTCAAATTTGCAAGGAACTGCCTGCCTCAGCCTCCTGAGTGCTGGGATTACAGGCAAGCACCACCACGCTAAGCTTCCCTTGCTCTTTAAAAAAAAAAAAAAACTTTCTAGTTTTAAGCCTGGTTTATCATGGCTTAGTGGCCAGAAAATGACTAGTCAGAGTTAGCCAGGAAGGTTTCTATCTTCTGTCAATGGGTCTATGCATGGCTTAAGGAATCAAAGTTTATCCAGTTTATAAGTCTTCCTATATTTCATTGACTGCCTTCATAGAGCTTCATGTTGAGACATAAATTAGTGCTTGACAGGAATCTCTCTAGAAACATACACAGAGCCTTATACAAACACATAATCTTCTGGAAAGCCAGGGATAAGTGGAAGTTTATCAAGGCCAACTTTGGTTATTTTGTCCCTGGATCTTTATTACTTATAACATGACTTAGGAATAAAACTAAACTAACACTGCAATCACAATTGCTGCACTAGCTCTGGAACTAGTATGAAAAACATTCTTAGGAAACATTTGAAAGGACTGAACACTCCATCCAAGTGTTGATATAAGAGTGGCAAGAATTATAAAGTCATCTCAAAAACATACAAGCAGAACTTTTCTATTTCCTTAACTCCTTCAACTGAAAGTTCTGAGGGACTGATAGTTACTGACATCACTTGGTGATCTATAATAAGAATTAATATTGAGGTTTTGGCAGACTTTTAAGTCAAGATTAGTGTCTCTAAAAATGTGGTCCTTATATTACCTGTACTGAAATTATCCATAACATTTGCTAAAATGCATTTTTTCCGATTTCATCCATATATAGAAATCAGAACATATAGGCACAAGAGGTCAAAATATAAATTTTTAAGAAGCAGCTCAAAGAATTTGTATTCAAAAATTTGAAAATTGGACTCATTCCTGTATCAACCCTACCCTTACTTCTCTACAAATCAAAAGTAGTTATATGGACTGAGCACCTGAAATTGGGACAGTGATTCATATGACAAATTAAGGAACAGCATTTTAAGAAGAACAAAGAATTAAAAAAACTTCATTGAAGGTAACTTCTTTGAACTTGTATTTCCTCTGTGGATTCTTTCTCCTTCAAATTACTCTGTAATTCACAATTTACCTTAATCAAAGACCTAGTTTGTCTCTTCCTTGGGAGGCAGTAATTTTGGGAAAGGCAGTGACATTCATACTTATATTCTGAATATGGGGAAAAAGAAAATATCCTCATACATTCCCAGCTAATCCAACATAGCTTACCATGGTAAAGGCAGAGATTTGTATATAAAACCCAAGTTAGAAGTAAAATATATTACATTACTTGGAGTTCTTATATTTGTTCTGGAATCTCAGGAAGATAAAGGCCACACAGTAATCAGTAGTATAACGTTCAAAGATTCGGAGAAGTTTTGACTCCATATGCTCACAACTTACATTTTTTAACTCTACAATCTAGTGACACAGAGCATGCAAGTCTTCATGGAATTTGCTAGTGTAAACTTGCAAAAACATCACTACCAACATTTCTGAAATTTTAGGCTGGAAGAACAGAATTTGCTTTTATGTCATTTATAGAAAGGTTTACTCACTGTGTAAAATTATGAAAACCAATTTTAAATTAGAATAAATGCAAAGTGAAACATGGATTTGCAGGGTTACCAAATGAAATCTTAAACCAGATGAAAAGCACTGCTTCATAATGCAACCATTAAAAATTATTAAATATCTTTTTTGGTTCAAGATTTCCCACAAAATCAGCAGATTAATAGACAGGTTATTTGTATACAGCAGTTCTAAGAAAAAGCTCAATGTCCTGCATCAGCTAAGCTCATACCTGTACTCAGGGTCACTGTCATAGGCACAGTCTCTGTACAAAAGACTTCTTTTCAGCTCTAGTTCTTCGTCTTTCTCTGTGTCTCTCTCATCCTGAAAAATTTAAAAGATTTTCATTAACTCATTTGTTCACAGTTTTCAACAATAAAACGCTTATGTTTCTTTGGGAAATACCTCTTCTTCTGCATTTTACAATATTAATCAAATGCTTATATATCTTTAAAGAAAAGAAACAGAAGAGAATTTCTTATCTTTTTGTCTAGAATGATATAGCTTTACCAAACACTAGGCATATAGCCTATATTTTTTGAACTAACAAATGAATGGAAATGGATGTGTCAAGATATGTAAATTAACAACATCTTACAAGTTGTTACATGAACTCCTAAAAGACTGTACTTATTTGTGGGCATAAGTATACTTGCATCTACATAGAAAACTATATAGATCCAAATATAGATCTATGACTTATAAAGCCAAAATGCAACAACAAGCCAGAAAAGGCAAAAATAAAAGTTAACTGCATGCAAATTAATAGCTATTCCCTTTAAGGGACAACCTGTTCTTAATTTCTAACAGACACATAAAAGTCATAACATTTTTTTGATTTTCTGAGATAGGGTCTCTTTATTTAGCCCAGGATGAACTTGAGTAAGTGATTCTCCTGCCTCAGCCTCCTGAGTGCTGGGGCTACAGGTATGCACTCAGCCAGCTTAAACAGGACATAAGAAACAGGATTCTGAGACACACATTTGTAAGCTGTATCATTTACAGTAAGTTCATGTGCATGGTAATTTTATATGATACAACAAAAAATATCTTTCCCAACTAGTTAGCCAATACTTTTAGTTCCTTAGTCACACAAGAACAGAAATGAAGGGAACTAATAACAAAAGGAACTAGTAAAACCAAGTAAAGATTAGTACTAATAAGGAGCTCACTTATATAAAAACAGCTGAAAATAGATAATAAAGAAAAATGATTTTTAAAATGTGCTGATGACTTACTACTATGAAAAGGGAATTTACACTGCAAAACTATTAGCAATAAAAAGGACAAGTTTAAAAATCACAGAAAATGTCCGTACAAATTTAGAATTTTGACAGCTCTAAGTTTTATTATTATAAAGTACTTCCCTTTATTTCTATTATTGCTTTTTTCTCTCTCCAGTTTTTGATCTATGATTAACATAAGTAAAGCAACTTTCTCTTATTTAGTACTTGAATGGTATTTGTATTTTTTATTTTTGAAACTTTCCTTTAGAATTTTATATTGCCTTGCATAAATTTGGAGCTGCATATTTTTATCCTAAGAAGTCAAAAAAAGTGGAGTATTTTCTCTACTGATAGCACAGAACATGTAAAGGGCTACAATGAAAGTGTGGTAAAGGAAAGAACTAAATGGAATAGTTTACTTAAGAGGGAACTAGAACACAGCCACTAAAACTACTCACAGAGAGCACTGATACCCATTCAAGATTAGGGATCTTAGGAAGGGAAATTCTTCCCCTCTCCCCTAATAAAAAGCCTGCCTCACACTACTGCCTCTCCGGGAACCTGGGTTCAGGGAAACCCAGGTGCCTGGCCCATTGCCCTGTACCATGAGGGGCAGCCAATGCTGGAAGCACCTGGGAACCCACAACTGGGTCATCCAGAGGAACCCAGGAAAATGTCAAGACAAAGGAGCAAAATGCAGTCTCAGATCTCCAACGTACAGACCATGTCCAGGAGGCACAGAAGAAATTGGAAGTTGCACACCTGAGATTTCTGAAATGATACTGAACTCAAGAAATGACTTCATGAGGCTATAAAAGAAACTAGATCAGAAATACTATCTCAGGTAAAAGAAAAAACAACAATCATAATAAAATATTGCTGAGCATATGTAAAGAGGATACAGATTTAAAAAGAGCATAGAACAATGACAGAAACCTTGAATGAACAATATAGAAAAGAATCAGAATACCTGAAACAGATTCAAAGAGATCCAGGAAACTAAAAACTCCATTGAAAACTGGCAAACTGCTTGAACAAAACTGAAGATAGACTTTCAGACCATGTAGACAGAATTGCGGCTAGCAATCATGAAAGGAAAGACCTCTTAAAAATAACAAGGAACCAGGAAATAGTAATTCAACAGTTGGAGAACGATGCAGAGAAAAATAATTTAACATTGATAGCTATCAGCAAAGAAGCAGTCAAGAGAAATGACATGAGACTATTTACAGAAATAATAGCAGAAAACTCTCCAGGTATGGCAAACAGACCTGATATGCAGATAAGTTAGGCATAGAGAACTCCAGCTAACCATATGCAAAATAAATCTACACCCACACATATAATAATCAAGATCCCAGAAATTCAGCTCAAGAACAGCACATCAGAAGCTGTTAGAGAAAAGAAACAGATCACCTAGAAAGAAAAACGCAACAGATTCATGGCAGACTTCTCAACAAAAACTATTAAGCCAAGAAGAGGCTGGAGTGAAATATTTCTTTCTTTCTTTCTTCTTTCTTTCTTTCTTTCTTTTTTTTTTTTTTTCTTTTTTTTTGGTACCAGGGATTGAACTCAGGACCTTGTGCTTGCCAGGCAGGCGCTTACACCACTGAACTAAATCCCTAGCTGGAGTGAAATATTTCAAGTCCTGAAAGAAGACAACTTGAAGATTGATGTACCCTGAATAACTACATCTTTCAAAATTAATGGAGAAGTAAGACACTTCATGACAACGAACTGAAGGAATTCATAACCATAAACTAACCCTGCAAAGAATACTTAAGGATATTCTAGAGAGAGATAAAGATGATCACAGTTCCATGAACAGCAGCAGAGGGGAATCGCTGAGCAGGCCAGGCAACTGAATGCAGGGAAAAGTAGGGGGGCCAATGACAGGAGAATAGCATGGCAGAGATGAGCCGATGCATGCCTGTCTTAACCAGTAATATAGATGGACTCAATTCACCAAAAAAAGAAATAACAGGCAGAGTGGATAAACAAAAAAGATACATCAATATGCTTGCATACAAGAAACACATTTAACTTGAATATAGATGGACTCAATTCACCAAAAAAAGAAATAACAGGCAGAGTGGATAAACAAAAAAGATACATCAATGTGCTTGCATACAAGAAACACATTTAACTTGAAAGGAAATTCATGGACTGAAAATAAGAGAGAAAATGATGCTCTATGTGACCAGGAACCAGAAAAAAGCTGGGGTAGCTTGCCCATCAACTACAGAATGGATAAAAAAGATATGGTACAATAGAGAGCTACTGAGTTATAAAGAATAATAACCTCGGGGCTCCTGTAGGTAAACGGATGCAACTTGAGATCATGTGCATGAATGAAATGGTTTGACTCACCGGGGTAAACATCGTATTATCTCCCTGATATAAAAAATTGACCTAGCTTTGCACAGAATCTGGCCTGGAGAGGGGAGAGAGAAAATGGCGGCGTGCTAGGGGATCGAGCGAAGAATCTCTCCAGAGAATTCAAACTCAAAGCTAAAAAAAAAAAAAAAAAAAAAGACAGCATGGAGAGGACCAGACAAATCCATAGCGATTCTTATCAACCAAGACAGTACAGCTGGAGGATTTAAAGTCGTGCTGAGACCGGAGGCTGCAAATCCCGTGCCCTTAAATCAACGAACAGACTCGTGGACCCAACACGAAAAGCTGAGTTGCTTTTGGGGACTGCGGAAACTGAGACCCAGATCGAGACTCCAGGCGGCAGCCAGTTCTGCACTGCTACACCAGAGCAGATGTACAGAGCTCTGGCGTTTCGAATCTAAACGGTGCACAGAAATCTGACCAGTCAGCGCTGAGCCGCGAGGTGGGGAAAAGTGGACGGCTTGGTGTGTGGCGGTCCCGGAGCGGGGACTTGCACCTTGATGAGTATAGAAAACCCCGCGGCGGCTGGGTTTGGCCAGAGAACAGCTGGCCCGCCACCACGGGGAAATCAATAACACAGAATCTGGTGCAGACATATTAGCCTGGCGGCAGAAATCGCAGCTTGGTGACATCACCAGGACCCCCTGTAGGGAGGGCTGGTGGGAGACATCTTGAGTCCTGGCAGAGTCTGATTGCTTGCTGGCTTCAGCTCCGCAAGGAGAACTTAGTGGGAGCCATCTTGGTTTTGGGCAGATCTGCTTTTCTAGAGCTCCTATCACAGAGAGGTTTGGAAGAGAAGGGCTGGGACCTGGGCAGAATCCTGTGCCATTACCCAGCTGCTTCTGATTCAGGGAGAACTGGCAGGAGCTGTTGGGGCTAGATCAGGCCTCTGCTTGGGGCCCAATGGGCGGATGCAGAATGGTCACAACTCAGTGACAACCAGAAAGTACAGCCTAATTTATGAACTAACTGACACAGAGGCTAGAGACTAGACTGTACCGCCCCTGCATCCCAGCCTACCCCAGATAACAGCAAATTGGGGAGGACAGCAAAAACTCAAGCCGGCACGCTTCTGAAAGGCCCTAAGCAATTCAGAGAGGGCCAGAGAACTCCAGGACAGTCTGAAAGAAACCAGAAACATGACAAGAGATAAAAATTAAAAAAAATCTCCAGCTGTTCAACAGGAGAAATTAAACCCAAGAGAACTAAACACTGAAGAGAACAAGCACAGTAACCATCCATTGCTCGACTCAGCATCAGCCGAAATTAAAAAGTATTTACATGATCTCATAGAGGAATTTAAAGATGTACTCCTGATCCAAGTGAGGCAAGATATAAAGAGATTAATTAAAGAAATGACAAGCCCTGCCCAAGAGAACACAGATGGAAGAACTGAGGAAATCAGAAAAGAAAGAGAAGCATCTGAAGAATTTAAGCATAACTTAGAATACATGAAACAGATCCAAAGAGAAAATCAGGAAATTAAAAACTCCATTGAATATTGGCAAAATGCCTTGACAGAAACTAAAGACAACCTTCTGAAACTTGAAGAGAGATTTAGGGCTTATGAACGTGAAAGAAAAAGCCTCTTAAAAATAACAAGGAACCAGAAAGAAGCAATTCTAAAACTGGAAGATGATAAAAAGATGCATAACCTAAGAATAAAGAATGTGAGTGAGGAAGCAGGAACATCCAAAAATG